ATATTACTGTTACATTTATATATTTCCCATTTTTCTGATACATACTCGATCTACTTGTGAATAAGTCCGAGCCGTGATGAATTCCGCAAATAAGAGGGAATATGTTAATATATTGAATACAACAAAGGCCAGAAAAGATTTTGACAAAAATTGAGGTTTGTCCCAACGAATATCTCTTAGATGAAACACTTCAGCCCAAAAACAAACGAGCAACGATGATCCACTCAAGAGCAATGGATAATATGCTGACAGCAAACTCCTAGACCAACCTTCCTTGAAAGCAGTCTATAAAAAATTAAGAGCATGTAATTAAAATAGTAAATGAAAAACATTTTCAAACAAAATACTTGTTTACATACAGGTGAGGTAAAGTATGCCCCTCGTATGATTGATGCAAGAAAAACTACAAAGTACAACACTTTTTGAGTGGTTACTCTGCATGCTCTTAGAAATGATGGTGCCTTCATTCTTTGCCATTCAGCAATGATGCACATGACAAGTTGTATCAAACAAATGAAAGCCAGTACGAAAAAAATCGATGCAAATGCGATATAGTAACTCAGATTTGGGATATGGCATTCTGGTCCATCAAACTGAATCTGAAACGAAATAATTAAAAAAATAATTAAAAAGTTATTATCTCAGAACAATTTGGGATAATAGTCAATAATAGTAATACCTCGCATAGACAGGTCCCGTTATGGCATTCCCCATGGCCAGAACAGTTATCATTTCCACAGCTGTTGTTCCAGGCCATCATACCAAATTTAACTAGTAATGACAATGGATTTTGTGTACTCAACGCGATCACCTGTTCCATGATCGGTAGATACAGACTGCTTCAGTGCAGCCCTCTAGAAAACTGTATTGAAATGCAAATAATTTATCTCAGGTATTGTTCCAACACCAGACACTTGATTAATATGCAAATGACAAATAAAAATTTCTATTTTTAAAAATTACACAATTTATATAAAGATCTTTTTAAATTCATCTCAAAGAATCATTAGGGAACGATTTTAATTAACATTTTGAAAATGAAAAATACATAACATCTGTGCAACTTGGCAAACAACAAAGCAAATTAGTCATGCACGGAATAATTCACTTTAATTAACAAGTCAATCACATTGATTATACCATTCGTGTGTGCAATACATACGTTAATTAAGCAAAATATCTATCCTCCGCGGGACAAATTCGAGCGAAAGCGATATCGATTCCCAGATATCGTATATCTAGACTTATCCCGGACGAAACAATGTACTTTAAACGAACAATGACACACACTTTTCAGGGAAAATAACACCACTGAGTGGGAAAGGAATCGTTCTTTTAGCTTGTCAACTGACCGTTCGCTCGATCCAGCGTGTCTACGTGCGTTATGTAGGTCTCGCAAGTGCAAAGTGAGTACAGATGTACGTAGGAATCAAGGACGGCAAGGACGCGAGGACGCGAGTTCTCAGACCATCACATTAGTCAGCTGTCTCTTCTGCGCAACGCAACGCTGCCATCACACGCGAATTATTACGCGTTGACTTTCGACGTCAACGGAAACGTAATCCGCCAAGCATCATTCGCGAGGACGAAAAGTCCATGACAAAATCTTATCGAAACTATCACATCGGACAATGAAAGAACCTCTCCCTGCATCCCTCATTATAGATAATCGAAATCCCCTTAATGACGAATTTTCGAGAATTTCATCCAATTCCCAGAATAACGCCACGCGTTGCTTGATTTGTCCAGATTCCACCAATGAAAATCGCGTTCTCTCTCTCCCCCTCCTTCTCTCTTTCTCTCTCTCTCTCTCTCTCCTCTTTGTTCGTTCTCTCCTTTCTTTCTTTCTTTCTCGACATTCCTCATTTTTTGTCTTTAGAGTTTGATTGATTAATGGCCAACCAGACCAAACTACAATTTAATCAGCCTGATTAACTTATCAAGTATACTTGTATTTATAAGTATATTTGTATATTGTTACTTGTAAGTGTACTTGTATATTGTTTAGTTAACATGAATAGAAATATTAATTCCTTAAATTGTTTATCATATGAAAAAAAAATTATCAGATTAGGAATCTATCATATAGTTATACAGAGATTATTTGTGGAAAACTAGAAAATTGTTAATTGTTTTAATTTTATCAATATTAATCACTGATTAAATTAGGATAACTTAGACCAAACAACAATTAATAATCTATTAATAATCTATTTTTAATTAATATATTATATAAATATATATTATATAAATTAATTAATAACACGACTAAAACTATTAAATTTGTATTAAAAAGATTAAGAACTCAAACTCCAGCTAGATGCACAGAGAATTCAAAAAGAATTCATTTGTATGTCATCAATTCTGAGTTCATTTTCAGATGCAAAAGGAATTTTTTTCAGAATTTTTCAGAAAAAGAATTCTTTTTACATCTAAAAATAAATAAATTCAGACTGAATTCTCTTTGAACTCTCTGTGCTATTTGAGACTATATATCGATATTTTTCTTCGACAATTCCGATTAAATTAAATCAAAATTTGATCATCGAAGTTGCCCTTAGTGAGAGAGAAATCTGAATATTTATTTGAATACTTTAAACAAACCTTAACAACATATTTATCGGCACAATATTGACCTTATATATTCACAACGTTTACAATCAATCGCCAATAAATTGCTAAGAAAATTACTAATATATATTATTTATAGAAGATATTTTCATCTATAAGAAAAAGTTTCTTGAGATAGACTTCTTGTTTCTTAAGTTCATCTTTTATTCTTCTTTTTTTCTCTACAGCACTCACCATATATCATTATAGTTTAATTTTATTTCCAACGCAAAAAGGTCACAAAGAAAACGCAATGAGAAGGAATAATCCACAAAACAGAAAGACGTACGCGATGTCCAATGAACGCAAAGCTTTCTCGGAAATCGTCAATCAATGTTCGTGTTTTGATGTGTATTTTGCTTAAAGATTTTAGTCGCGTTCTGAAAACAGATCCAAGAGACTTCACTCGAACGAATCGACATTATTTTATCGAGTATTGTAGCCGATAGTCGATAACTGCCTAAATTTTCACAATATTCTTTATTACGTCTAGCTTGACAGCAACGGACGCGAGCAAGATCATTCAAGGCAAGATATATTCTTCCCATAAAGTTGCTTTGTCCTACGATCCATGCAAAACAGTCCCCTCGAAAAAAATAAGCCGCTAAGTATATGTTAATGAAACGTTATATAATGTTAAATTATCTCGTATCATAAAATCCTATATTGATTAAAACACGTATAAACTTCTATATTTCTGTCACAGATGCATGACTGATATTTGTATATGTTCCTGTGAGCCTCAGAGATACTTCAATTATCTCCGAGGATCGAAAAGCATCTTTCACACAAATTCATATAAAAAAATTTAATGATAATAAAGAAATTTAATGGCATTTTCGATGCATTTTCACAGCTTTGTCTTGATATATATAGTCTTGATATCTAAATATTTATCATTTAAATCTTATCATTTAAATAATTTTTTATTTAAATCCTTTATGACAGCTTTAATACTAATTTAATGTAATGCAAGTGATTGAATCGGTATTATTTAAATCTAATAACGATTCAGTCACTTGCATTACATTAAATTAATACTAAAGCTGTCATAAAATCAGCAAAATTAAATGCGAAAGCACATAAATATTTTAAACTTAAATACTCAATAATATTATTATGACGTTTTTTAACAGAATATACATATATTATTTTATTCATTTTTAACCAAAATTAATTGTATTATGCTACTGCATTTAGATACTTTATAAAGCAGCTTTTAAGATGTATTAAATTTAGTAGTATGAATCAAATTTATCATAAATATTTGTCTTATATCTAAAAATCAAACTATCTGATTAAAAATTTCCATTAATAGCATTTATCTATAAATGGATGAATAAAACAGAAGTTTTATAATATAAATTTTGTGGATTTCAGATGTCTACTCAATGTCTAGCAAAACCACGACTTCGTAATTTCCTCACGGCACAGATCAAAAGGAATCTTGTACTAATGATGACAATTAGCATCAGTGGGGCAATGGCGGTTAAGATTCTTATTGCTGATAAGAGAAAACGAAGATATGCCGAATTTTACAAGTATGTACAAATGTCTTTCCTAAAATACTGCCATTACTTATTTTAATCTCATTCTAATGCCATGATTATTACATTTATACATAATCTTCACTTTATATACTTAAAGTCTCTAATGTCCACTTCTACTAATGTAGATTAAATTTAATCTTGGTTTAATTTACTTTTTAGCTTCTAGTTTTAAGAAAAGGGTAGAAAGTAAATCAATCTAAGACATTAGTTTCAGATTAATTTACTTTTTCTAATTACATATTTTTATAATTATTCTGTATTAACTATATTATATATATATATATATA